TGTGTGTGTGTGTGTGTGTGTGTGTGTTGAGTGATGGACGGATATGCTAAGAGTCAGGCTCCAACGGCTCCTTCCTAAAGTGACCTCTGACATTCTTCCGCAAGTGAGGAGTGTGCATGCGTCTATGGGTAGCGCCTCTCAGCCGATGACTGATTGGTTACCCCGCCTCTGAGAGATAATGGCCCAGGCTAAATGCAGGGACGCGCGTCAGCCTTCTGGGCTTTAAGGATTGTGTGTGCCTGCTGGGCCATTATTCAGCAAGCCGTAGCCCTCGTGAACTGGTGTGCGCTGGCACTTCCCTGGGACCTTATACTCTGCCGGTAGATGAGCTTGAGTTCCAGATTGGTATACAGGCCGTGATCATGTCATCCTCTTTCTAACTCATTTTTGAATTTGGTTAAAATCCTAGTCAAGGGTTTTTTGTGGATCAGGGGATGTGGTGGCACGCCTAGGCGCGGGTCCTTCCGTGCCACCCAAATGCGCCCTCTCCTGTCTCCGGTATTCTTGACTACGTCTTGATGCCAGGCCCATGTGGGCAGGAGGAGAGAGCGCGGTAGGTGATGCTCCTCATGAAATGTACAACATGGTCCGCATCCATTGCAAAATTTTATGAATTCTGTATGATATCTGTTCAATGGCACAAGGTGAACATCGTCGGACACGACGGCCGAACTGTCACCATGATGCTTGTAATATCGACCAGCTCCTTTGTGACACGCGTGGATGGGGGATATAGCTTTGCCAGTCATTGCGCCTACGTCCTCCTCCGCAGGTTATAGTCTTGTGTTGGGGGGTGAGGGAGGAAAGAGTGCGGCAGAGGCTTTACAAGCCTGCTTCACTATGACCTGCTTAAGCTGCAACTGACTGGTACTACACGCACCCGGTTGGGCACACCTCGCCGTTTGTGACGGTAGAATCACTACACAGAAAGCAAATTAAATCCTCAAGAGTGATTGTTAACAAGGTCGGCACAGATTCGAACAAAGGCTTGGTGCAGTCCGTTCCTGTCGTGTTCGGTAGATGGAAACACTGGGGGTGCGGTCAGTTAGGAATTTACCCACCTGCAAGGCCATCCAACTCTCTCGAAAAAAACTCAGCATAATCCTGTTTGGAATGCGGTCACAATATCAAAACGAGGATGAAAATGGCGATTTTCGTTCGGTTGCCAGGGTACGTCGATGTAAGCCAAACCGACAGGACTTGGGGTCCCTTACGGCGGCTGTACCGCTGCTCGAGGGCCTAACGACTCAGGTTCACACATCGGGCGTGATTATCGCTGGGTGATGACGACAATTCCATTGCCCTTCTCCATGCTATAAATGCATTTCGGATGACTAGTACGGAGTGCAAGAGGTATTTAAAAGTTCATTTTCTGAAGGGAACATTCCTTGAAGTCTGCTTTATCTAAAAAATCGGACATTTCTGGGTGGAAACCGAAGGATTATTATACCCGGGCATTACATTGTACTCCAAAATGTCAGTACTAAAAGAGAGAGAACTTTACACCAAGTGTCCTCTGCAATTGAGTAATCGGATTTTGTGAGATCAGATACGAGAGATCACATTTCTCTCAAGAAAAGAAAAGCGGAGTTAACCCGAATATTCCCAGTTACAAATTGATTGTATTTTGTACCATAAAGTGCAATAAAATATTGGTGGCAGTGGTTTGTTTTGCTGAACTGAAAACTACATAGCGTAAACAAATATAGAAGGAATACCCCAGACATGCTGACAATCCTCTCTACCATGCCCTACCATAAAGATAATGAGACAGTTTTGGCTACCACAGATGTTGGACGGATACAAACGGTAGCACTAGAAGCGCTGGTGGGCGCGTTTTTGGCAACTATTTTTAGTAGCCGGAGGGCCGCTGTACATCGGACTAGTAACAACAGGCCAAAACAGTCGACAAGCATGCCTGATGTCACCTTTGTTCGTCGGATACTGAAAAGTGCATTTTAAGTCCCTGCAGGACTCCTCACGGAGATGATTATTCAATCTTCTCTATGAGCATAACTGAAATTTGACTCTACCATGTTAGGAAAGAACTTCCCACGGGAATACTTTCGAGATAGCCAAATCATGATAGTTTGGTCGAGCATAAAACCTGGAAAACGGCCAGTATGGCGATTAGCAATGGACACCGTCAGCAGCCAAGTGTTCGTGGACACCGTGAAGAATGAGTTCATTTGCGACGGTCTTCATCCAGGCAGAATAACCTTCCTGTTCACCCACGTAGAGGTATGCAAACCACTCCCATGCGATAAGGGCAGATTTTGGGAATTGATAAGCCTATTTCCTCATGTCCGACCATCCCCGTGTATGTGCATGATAAGCCCGTAACGACCGTTATTTATCACCGACAATGAGAAACCCCTACCACTTCAAATGCCATTAGATTTCCGTAACGCGATATAAGTTATAAGCCAACGCCGGGGCTGAGACAGCTGCAAGCAACGTCACGCTGCCTATTGGCTGCTGTAAGTTTCAGATTTTCGGTTTTTAACTAGTCTATCTAGATATGACCCCACTGCCGTTATAAAAGCATGAATTCGAGCTACGGAAAATCGCATGGCCGCTCAATGGTAACCTTCAACATACACCAACTACTAATCTTCCCGGGTGGAGCAAAATGTGGCGGTCAAAATCACCATTTTTGAGCGGACGTGAATCTAAGCTGATGGGCACTGCATCCCCACAGATCGCACCACGTGTGTTTGTTATTGATTTTGTGGACTAAATGTAATTTGTGCGACAGGGGTACTCGGAGCCCGCTAAAATGATTATCAACATCGACCGTAAAACATAACGTCCATTGCTATGATCGAGGCAGTTGTGATCGGTGTGCGTCCTTAAGAGGAAAATTACCATAAGATTTCTTGACCACATCGGAATTTATTTAAAATGTGTTGATAAGTTCTGGCTGACTTACTATAAAAATATTTGAAAATATTGGGTGCATGCTGTAACCCTAAGATTTCTTTGTTATTTTCAGGTTGGTTATTCAGACCGACTGTACACTGGTCGACTACGTTTGAAGTTGGAGGTCTGCAGCCCACGAAGATGCTGGCATGCTGGCTAACAGTCAATGCCTGCGAAACATTGTCATTGGACCCATGGCAGTTTTTGCCTTGTATACTGTCATCGGTCAGAAGGTTCTTATTGGTTTCACTGCATTTTCGCCTCTCCAATAATGAGCACTTATCTACAGACAAATTAGTGTAATATAGGAATAAATCAGCATTTTAGCATTGCTTACCACCCAACATAACAGTAGCTTACAAAAGTTTGTTCAGTGCACTTGAAGAGAACTGCAATTGCCCTCAGGTTGCATTAATAATTCGCGTCGAACCGGTTCACAATGAGGGAGACCTGGGAAGCATCAACCACACCCTCTCTTCCTCCTCCTTGGTGTATGCTCCCTCCCACCAAGCATCCACACACACCTTGCGTAAGTTCAAACAGCCTTGTCTTATATCGAATGACTGTGCTCCCTACAACGGATCATGCGAGAGTTGCGCTGGACATACATGGAATCCAGATCCGGGTACGGCAGGCGCTATTCGACTGCGCGCCGACAACAAATGTCATTCGCGGGTGGTGTGGTGGCACGCCTACACTCAAGCCCACACCGCGCCAGCCACCTCGCCTGATCCTGTCTTTAGTCTTCCTTATTCTGTCACAACACGAGGCCGTGGGTGGATGAGGAAGGAGGGAGTACGGCAGATGCAGCGCGAAGTCTATTAGCACTTTAAACTAACTCCCGCGCAAGCCACCGTTCCTGCTCTCACCCTGCTGTGAAGCGCACGATGAACATCGTCGGTCAGGACGAGCAAGTTGTCATATCAGGCCATTGCCTGCAAGCCAAGGAGGAGAATATACGTCGAGCCGATTAACATCGTTTACTGTCCTGTGTTGGATGGACTGCCGTGTATAGGCCAGATGATGCAGCTCGGTGCCCGCGGGCGCGAGAGTGTCAAAGGTAGCATGGCTTCCCATGTCCTCTCTGCGACGAAACAAATTAATAAGTTGAGGGGAAGTGTCATTCCCATAGACCATTTGTCTTGTCTAAAGTTAATGATTCACTCAACGGATTATGGAAGAAAGAGAGTCGAGTGGAAGAACGGTACAAGCCTCTGGCACCTTGAAGAATATCGGACAAATAAGATCGAAATGGCCAGGAAGCCACACTCCCAATATGGCTGACGCAAAACAGCTTGGCTTACTGGTATTTAAATGGCGGAGACCGGAATCTTCGGCTCGGTATATGGACGGTATCTTTAGCGTTATTGAAAGGGGCTAGGTTTTGACTTTCAAAAAACGTCCCAGTCCCATTTTCCTAAAAGGACGACGGCATAGCTCGCAAAATAGCGGAACATAAACGGGCAGTCCGGAGAGGCGATCCGCTGTCTCGGGTCGCCACTTGCCTTGGAGGAAGGCCACGAATTTAATTTCGCGAGCACGCGGATAGTGGCGCAGGTCAGAGATAAGGGCGAGAACTGCTGGAGGCCTGGGCGTCTGACGCCAACTCTAT